TTTTCCCTAATATATTTAAGTGGAGCAGTCGAGTTGCACCTTCTGAGCGACTGCCATTGCTACCGCTAGCGCCGCCGCCGCCGGCGTAGGCTCGTGCTTGAGTTGGTTGTACCTTGCGGAGGAAGGTAGTGAAGTGGAGACGGTTGCGTTGATAGAGATTGTTGATGCATCTGTTGGAAATGAGGATTGGGAATCTCTGATAATCCTTCCACTTCATCTTCTACCCCAGTCAGGGTTTGGTGTTTGTGAGAGTTGGGAGGAGGATGATGGGGGGCGGGGGGTGTTTAACTTTAAAAGAAAAAAAAATTAAAAAGAGTTAATTATTCCAATGGTATCTGAACTACGGTCCATGTTTGTTATTAGTCACTAAGTTTAAAATGTTGAGTTTTGAAGCCTGTTTCGGAGAGATTTTTTCATCCAAAAAATTGATTTTTTGATAGTTATTTCACTATTTCAGCCGTCATATTTGACTTCTTCTCTCACAGGTGGACCTCACTTTTCTCCTAACGGTCAAAAAATCAATTCTCAAAATCACTCCCAAACAGGCTTTTGATAATTGAATTTAGGCATATACATTTGATTGTTTACTAAAATTTAAAGTGTCGAGTTTTGATCACTAAATTTGAAAAATATTGTACATTACTAACGATAAATTCGACATTTTTTAAAGTTAAACATTTATGTTAATGAATAATGTACAACATTTTTCAAAATTTTGTGGTCAAAATTCAACATTTTAAATTTTAGTGAACAATTGAAGATATTGACCGAAGTTTAATGATTGAAATTCGACATTTTAAATTTCAGTGACATCGGAACAATTAATTAGGAAAAAAGTGGGGTTATTATAATTAATAATTATAAGTGAGTTACTAAAAGATTCGATTTCTTGAAAAAGTAACTTATAATTCACATTCAAAGTTAAATTTTATTTTAGTTACACATTCACATAAAATTCACATATTTGGTGAGAACTACTTTTTAGCATTATAAAGAAAATTATAAGTAACTTGTTAAGAAATTGAAGCACGCATTTTCTTATTTCGAAATAAATAAAACATAAATTATTTAAATATAACATGTGCCCATCTAAAAATATTAGTAAACTTCTAGGTGAGGATATTACGAAATGTGTAGATAATAAATGAGTAATAGTTATAGTTGAAATTAATGTTTAATCCTAAATGAAATTATAAATCAATATATAAATTGTATTCGAATGGAGGCAGAGACTAACCCACCTATTCAATAGTTCAAAAGACTTCTAGGACATGGCCTTTGAACATTAGATGGTAAGAAAACACGGTGTAAAGAAAAGGAAGATATAATTCATAGAAGGAATGAATTCCGAACAAAACGGTGCTCTAGGTTGGCACATAGAAGGTGAGATGAGTAAGGTGACGATGTAAAAGAAAAGGTTGGGATAAAGACTTTTCATTCAAATAGTAAGTGGCCTTTTTCAATGAAGAAATATCGGGGAGGGCGAAACAGTTAACCCAACAATTAAGTGATTTGGAACTTCTTTTTGGAAGATTTGTGTTCCGAAGAGCAATGCTTTGCATCGATGCAGCGGGCCATCTCTCACTTTTGTCAAAAGAGATAAATACTCAACCTTACGATATTGTTGGGGCCAGAAAATGAAAGGAGAAACTCTCACCAAGTTTGAGCATTTTTTGAATCTTGTTTCTCCGTTTACCAACCTTCTCTGGAGATGGCAAAACACATAAAAAATTGTACTTGGTCGGACCAAAATCAATTCAGTCTAGTTGACGGGAGAAAATTTATTCTGAGCTAAGAACATGCGAATTTGGTCTAGTTTTTTACTTTTGAAATATATATTGTCCCCTTTTATGCCCCAAATCCCACAACCACCAAAAAAGAGTGGAAATTTGCTCTTTGCTCTTGTTAAGTGCTCATGCTTAAAAACCGCTTTAATTAACTAGAATTCGATGAACTCTAAACAGAATGTTATGCAAACCAACTGAAAACACTCTTTACTGTATTTTTACACACATCAGTCTAACATAATTTCTAGTTCTATTGACAGAATTGGACACAATTTTTGCAAGCAAAGACTACTTGTTTTTGAATTACAATGAGCAACTTATAATTACTTGTAAGAAATTAACAGAAAATCTATGGGTCCAAAAGTGATTAATTGCTCTTATTAATATTCAACATTCTTAGTGTGTGCTCAGTTTCTTCAATGCAACTTGTTCTCTGAAGAAGTCTTTGAATTCCATCAACCCATTTCTGCTTATGAATTTTGTTCTTGCACTTGAATTCCAAAAGCCCTTGTGCAGTTTTCACCCCAAAGTACAATTCCATGTTGTCCCTTTCTTTTCTAAATGGCCATGCTGCACTCTCATCAATGACTTCATAAACAATACCTGGTTTACCAAGGAGAAAAATTAGAGACAATTGAACTAAAAAATTAGGAAAAAAATTATGGGGAATTTCGGACTAGGTATAGTATAAAAGTCGTGATTTCTGTAAAGGGTTTAAGAAGATCGAATCAGAAGGTTTACCCAGAGTCACTATATTGCTTAGTTATTCAATTCTTAAAAAGATACGTTGAGTTATTTTTATCTCCTTCATTTTCATTTGCCAGGATAATGACTGACTTGAGCATTAGAGTGTATATCCCGAAGTAAAACTAGAATTTCTTTCGACGTTTGTTAGTGATAAAAGAAATAACTCTGCTAGAAGAAACAAGGCTTTGGAAACATGCGGGTTTCCACCATGGTTTGTTACTTTGCTCAAAGAATCCTTTATAAAATTCATCAAAAGTTGAAAACTTACATTTATTCTTCTTGGAAAAGGCTCCTCCAACATGTTTACTTTTCAACTTGATTATAACCTGCCATAGGATTCACTTTCTTTGTAAGAATCACAAATCTCCAACTTGCATATATGTATCTATCTGTATGTGTTATGTACCTGGCATTTCTTGTTGATGTAAACAGAGACATTTTTCCATCTTAGCACACCTAAGAATCCAAATAATAAATAAATTATAGTTTAATCAATGCTTTCGAATTCGGTTTCCATTTAGTGCACGTTTTGTATGCAGAATTAGACCATAGTTGGATGTATAATAGATTAGATTTTACCTTTACTTGAGTGTTGTAGTAAGTCTCCTACACAAGGAGTATCTTCTTCTTCAATTCCATTAACAAAAGTTGCAGTAGAATGAGCATTTACTATGTCTTTTCTATAAGGACTTACAGCTGCACTCCTCTTTGCTTCTGTTGGCAATCTTGCTTTTAAAGCTGCTTCCCCTCTCAAAGCTATTCAATTAAAATATTAAAAGAAATCAACTTAGAAAACATATGGTATATTTCAATAAACATGAACAAAGGTGTTGAGAGTTGTGGATGAAGCACGAACATTTCTGGATACGTGTTTGACACATCACGTGACATGTCTAGTACTCTACATACTCTTTACAAATCGAATACACGTGGAACATTATCCCAACATGTTAAAGACACTGAAAGTCCCATTTCATGAAATTTAAAATATAAAATTAGGAACTTTTATGAATTTAAAATTTTGTGTAGAAAAGTCACAAATATGTGAAAAAAATTCTGCAAAATTCTCTTTCCCAATAGTAATGTAATTTTTCTTTTTCCCAAAATGCTCTTTTTCAACAAATTCTATAATTCAAAAGATTTCAGGGGAAATATTACAGCTAGAAAAGTATAGATTTCATTGAAATATAATCATCTACTATTTAAACATGTAGTTTAAAGAATTTAAATCGATGTGTCTGTGTCCTACTTTTTGAAAAATCACTATATGCATATCCTTGTTGTGTCATGTTCATTTCCGTGCTTCTGATAGATTTATGGAAGAAACCAGATACCAGTTGCTGCAGCTGCTGTCAAAGTTACTAGATCACTTGCCCTCCGAATATCCACAGCAGATCTAACAGTAGAGGCTACATGATCATGGCCAGCTCCCGCAGATTCGGCCAGCTCAATACAGTATGAGGCCAAGAGCTCTGTGGCTGATGCCATGGCTATGCTCATTTTCGAGCCACAATTTTCTGTCGCAGTGACAGCAGCCAAGGCTGCTGCTAGTCCAGCAACCGAGAGAACTGTGTGCATATGTGCATTTTCCATTCGCGCCTTTTCTTTCTTCTTTGATGTGCTGCTATAGTTTGATTCCTTATGGTTAAACAATCTCCCAATTGCTCCAGTTTTGCGACTATTAAATGGAATTGGAATCTTGTTGGGCTGCAATAAATTGCCAAATTATCAGGAAAAAAATCTGAGAGAGCTAGTGATTATCGGTAGTTTAGATAGATGCATTTAAATGAAATTTTAAAAGAAGTCCTGTGAATTATAAGTAACACTTTTTGTAGAACATGGGACTACGATGTCAAAATAAGTAACTTACAACGTGTTGTGTCATTACAGGCTCGGGAATCACACATTGATTCTTGAGTGTTGGTGGCATCTGGGTTTTAGCAAGAGCTCTTGATATTTCATTCACAGAAAGACTCCAAGATCTGGAGAGGAATTCCATTGGCTCCAGTGGAGTTTCTGGCTGAGGAACTGAAGGTAAATTTGATTCTCCTTTCACCTCATCATGATCATGATCTTCTACATTTTGAAGCCAATATGACATATTCTTCTTCCTATCCAGCTGTTGAATTTTGTCCATGTGATCAGTTTATATAGGATTACTTGGCTGGGATCGACTGTGTGAAATGATGATGAAATTTTATGTCTCGTCCTGAAAACTTCGAGTTGTCAGATTACCTGTTAGACAGTAGAAAAGAGAGACCGCAAAGTGATTTTTAAGACCGTGAATTCTTGCACAATGAAACATGGACTCATCCTGCTATTGCTTGCACAATACTAGACATTATTAGAATGGTACATGGTTCAGCCCTATACAGTAGCACATACCATACACACCAGGGGCAAAGCCAGCACCTGACCAGCCCCTGTGGGGGCGTCCGTGCTGACTCCGTTGAAATTTTTTTTCCCCTTACACTGCACGGCCGCTTGAGCGACCGTCTGTGTTCACCTGAATTCGTGGATCCACCACTAATACACACTTAACGAAACAGAACAAAGCATGGGCTTATTATACCATTGCTCCAACAAGTTTTTTTTATCAGAATTGAGTGTCGTAAAGGAGGCTTACCTCGGATAATCCGATGACTTCAATATCAAGATCTTGCACTAGAGAGCTACTCTTCACCCTTGGTGTTTGAGGCTTTGAGCTATGCACATTTTATATGTAGGAGAATTGGGAAGTTAATAACAGAGAGACATAATTAAGGACACCAAATACAAGCATATTGTCTCGTGCTTGGAACCACCCATAAATTCAGGCTTCCATTCCTCCAAAAAATACTATTATATGACTATGTCTCTATCTGTCATTTATATTGGTAGAACATGTTAAGGGAGATGGATCAATAATAATTAATTCAATCGACTTTAAATATAAGGACTCAATACGTCATAGACTAATGACACTTTTGGCAAATATTTGAAAAGTCAAAAGTTGTTTCTGAGACTAAGAGGTTGCTTTAGACCGTTTTGATAATTTTTTTAAAGGTGTTAAAAGAGTTTTTAGAAAAAACTAACCTAAGTAGTTTTTTCAGGAAGTTCTTTTACACGGAGCAGAAGCAAAAGAAGAAATCCTATCAAACAGGCTCTCATAGTCGTGAGTCCGTTTAATGTAGCTATTTTTTGGTTGTAAAGCTAGTCAAATTTTATTTTTGATCACATCTTTTATTCAATCCACAATTTTTATCAACTTTTGAACCGCATGTTCTATAGATCCATCAACTTCATTTACTAAAAATCGACATCAAAGTTGCTCTTGAATCATATAATAGAATTATTCGATGGGAAGATCGACAAGATTTTAGGTATTAATTTCTTGAATTATGTTGTTTTGACCAAAGATAAGAGGATAACATTGTCCTGATTAAAGGGAGAGTGGTTCCTTTACAGCCATGCAACTATGCTTGGTCTAAAAGCGCAGAATCATTAATTATATAATCAGCCACACGCTTGTAGAGATAAAGTAATTTAATCCAAAAGGACAGTTCTTTAAATCGGATCATGGGGTCGGTTTGGTGGTTTCTTTTGATGGTCGGTTTATTGGTGTACGTGTGGTTCGAGAAAAGTGAACAAGGGACACTCAATTCTTAAACCTTGGACTTGATTTCGACCGATGATGGACATGTGATTCACAAAGTGCAGCCACGTGCAACGTAATATGAAAGAATAATTTCCGTGGTGTTTAGTATTAATTTATGTTGCACCGTTGTTAAGTGGGAAAAAAATTGTTTGGGAGGTGCTTAAGAATTTAACATGTTATGTAGAGCTCACAAATATTAATTATTTATCCGTAACTCATTTTTATATGTTTATAATTTAAATTGGTTACAAATAGGGGCGGATTGGGAGGTCCTGTAGCTTTGTGTTTTTGTCTTTCTCTCCCAATCTGCCGACTGCAGACTGTCATTATTATTTACAGTTTACCTACTATTTGAAAGTTTGAATATGATCCCCTAACGTAGAGTATCTGGGTCCGCCCCTTGCTACAAATATATTACAAACAAGCGCTATATTAAGCGTAAAAGTTATGAAGTTGAGATAATTGCAATTAGAATAATGAAATCATGAGCGATGGTGATGAAAATCAATCTATGTAACAGCGTAATCAATGTCATGTTGTTTTATGAATAAAATTGCATCCCTACTTCATAAAACAATATAGAAGTAACCTCACAAATGTTTACAAAATTATTAACGGTGCATATACGTTTTATGCATCATAATGCTAAAATTTCAATGTTAAAAATGTTAATTAACATAATATAACTTCCGTGAGTACAATGTTTATCAATATAAAATTAACAATCAAACCTTTAAACTTTGAGAAGATATGGTTGTAACTTCTTTCTTGAAAAATTGATAGTTGTTTGCTTGTCTTGAAAGGTGAAAGTAAAAATGCAATAAAAGGCTTCTCTTTCTTTTGTCTTTCTAATTTTCTCCATTGAAAATATGTGTACGTGTGAACATGAAGTATGGGTAAAATGAATCATAATTGATTTGTCAAATCCTTTTCTAACTTTTGAAAATAAGCAATAAAAGATCTGTCACTTTCTCTATAATCGAGTTCTAAGTGGAAAAAAAAGTTAGAGACACATGATTAAAGTCGCTAATGAAAGTTTAGTCAAAGCTGAGAATTAATTGGGCCAGAATTAATTTATGACTCCTACGTAACCTTTTTAAATAGAAATTACATAGAAACCTGCTTTTAAATATTGCAGTTCAAAAATCAGAAGTATAGTTTATATATACCGAACTCAGATGATAATACAATTTTTAATATTAAATAATAATACAATAAAATTCAATTAATTATATCACAAACCCTAATATTCATTTCCTTCCTCATTTTCAACCCATTCTCTCTCTACCTCGCCCTCGTCACCAAACACCGGAGCAGCGTTGGGCGAGGCTGAGCATCATTGTCAGCTACACTCTGTGTGCCTATCACCTGCACCGTAGATTGAGCGGCGCGTCATCGCCACAACAACTTCGTCCCTGCAGTGATTTGCAATTCGCAGCTGTTGCAATGCAACGTACGGTGGTAGCGGTGTACTGGTGTTGGTGGCACTGGTGCGGTGTGTTGCATTGTGGGGCTGTGTTAGTGGTGGTGACGATACGTCTATATAGGTTTGGGTTGTTGGGCTATTTCTGTGGATGGTGATAGTGCTATGGTAGCAGAGGTGCCTCGTGCAGTGAATGGCGGTGGTGATGTTTTACGTGTTTTGGCGGTGGTTTTTGTTGTTGGCAATGGTGGTGGATCTAATGGTGGTAGTAGACCTAGCGATGGAAGCGAGTTTTGTTGGACCAAAGGTGGATTAAACGATGACATTGTCGGATTTGGAGGTTGTGATGGTGGTGGCGGTGATTTTGTTGATATATATAGACAGTGGTAGTGGCGGCGGCGGCGGCGGCAATGACGACAACAGTGGTGATTTTTGTTGATATAGGTGATGGTAGTGATGGTGCTCGGTAGTAGATTTTAGGTCTTTTTTGGTGGGAATTGTGATAGTGGAATGGTGTGGTGGTGGTGGAATGGTATGGTGGGCTAGGAATTGGAGAGTGTTTGTGATCAATTATTTGATTAATTTTAATCAATAAATTGATTACTATATGACTAATAAATAATTTGTGATCAATTATTTAGTTGATTGTAACCAATAGATTGGTAAATGTGGGATCAATAAATAATATTTGACCTTAAAAATTTGATTGTGACTCACAATTTATTAAATCATGACTAAGAAATTAGCAGTGATCAATTCATTTGATAATTTATGATCGTTAAATAAGTTGTAATTTATAAAAAAATATGATTTTTTTATTGATAAATAAAATGTGAGCTATAAATTTTTTGATTTATTATTGAAAATAATTTGTGACCTATAATTTTTCTGATCTATGATCCAAAAATAATTTATGACTTATGAAATTTTTAATATGTGACTCAAAAATAATTTGTTCAATAATCGAGAAATAATTTGTACTAATTAATTTAATAATTGTGACCAAATTGTATAGAATTGTGATCTTGATATATTTAGTTAATAAAACATATTTTTAATTAATTATTTCATAAATAAAATATAATTAATATCTGATTTTTGAAATTTTAGACCTTATTTTTTTGTTTTGAAACGAGTAATGCTAAATTTTCCCCTTTTTAAAACCTTTGTTTTATCATAATAATATTCTATCATAAAATGTTGTTTTATTTGTAATAAAGATGAAAGATTATCTTGCTAACTTGCCTATTCAACTTTGACTTAAAACATTCTTGGGAAGTAGACTTAAATTGACTTAAAATGGATAATTAATATAGTAATAGTAATAGTAAAATAAAAAGGGGTCTTTAGACTGTTAGCCAACATTTTCCTCCTATTCTGATTTTTACTGAAAATGTTGTTACGAAAATATTTTTTCATTTGGAGAATTGCAAGCGTACGGATCGTTAACCAGTAATAAAATGGATTTGAGTTCAAGTGTCGTATCAACGAAAATTGTATTAGTTTAAGTTCAAAGTATCTTAACCTTAATCGAAACAGCAAAATTTAGTCATTTTTCTATAACTAAATTGTAACCAACTAATGCACGTATGACTGCAAGACTAAATTAACTAAAATAAATGCAAAGTTGTAATTATCGCAAATGTGAAGAGAGTATGATGATGAAAATGTACTAGAATTTCAAATCCCATATGTTGATCATCTTTAACCCCGAACCATTTTATTTGACAACACAATTCAATTACAAAAATTATTTTTTCTAATTTGTTTAACAATATCTCTTGAGCAAAATTAATTTGTATGATGGATGCGAACAAAGAAGAATGTATTAAGGATTTATGAATATTTAAAGATCACATAGAGCAAACGGTATATTTTTATTTCCTATTGGACATACGACAATTGATACTATATCTAACTTATTTTCAATCTTTCGAAGATAAAATAAACCATCGTGTTTGAAAGTCCTTATTAATTTACCAGCTTATCATTTGGTTGTTATGCTATAGAATAATATATCTTACGGAATATTGGAAATTCAAATTTCAAACATTTGTTGTCCGTTCACAAATCAAATTTGAAGGTAACAACTAATCATCATTTGTGCAATAAATAACAATGTATATTATATTCAAAACTAACGTGATATTGCTTCGTAAAACCATAACAATGAACGGTCTAGAAACAATGTTTATATATATCCTCAATCATTAACTTGATTGTGCATCGAACCACATAATCAATTGAGCGTAACAAGTCGAAAATTCACGTACGATAAATTGTAGCATTGGTGAGTAGTATGGACGAAATATGAATTAATATGAAGATGATGAGGATTAAGCAAATTGTAGAGGGAGCTGGTAGAATGCAACGGTAAAGGTTTTTTAAAAAATAATAATAATAAAATAATAATAATAATAATAATAATTATGATATTAATCGGGGAAAGAGATGGAATATTAGAATTTTATCAAATGAGGGATTTCAAAATAGGGTGAATTACTCTCTACAAAAAGGAAAGATTATACAAGATCCCATTAATTAGAGAACAATCCATAAAATTCTAAACTTTAATAGATATCTCTGTAGTATATTATAAAAACAGTGGATAATTAAGAAATATTCAAATAATTTAGTAAAATAAAAAAAAATGGGGGGAAAATAGGCATAGGTCCTAAATACCCCATGAAAGAAATCAGAATTCTAAATAGGGATCAATGCTACATCCTCGCGCCTGTAGGGAATTTTCGATTTTATTTTCGAAAAAAAAAATCTTTTATTACCTGTTTGCATATGTGGGTTGTGCTAGGTTCTGTACTAAGTTAATGGGTTTAAAATGA